ATTCATCTGTTTATTGTACCAGAGAGGGGGAAGCAAGAAAAGTTGCGCGAATAATAGCTACTACATACCTAAGAAGGCTCAGTCACCCGAAATACCTCGCACCAAATGGATCGCCCTCCTTCAAGAGCGCCAAAAATATTTTATTCAAAACTGCCTCAACAAAGGCTGCGCTGAACCTTGTTCCGATTTGACCTTCGTCTCTCTCTTAGGCCTCTCCCTCTCTGTCCAACCGTTCGTTCGTCCTTGTAACACAGTTTCTTGGCATTGAGTGGTTCTCGAGTTGTTTACCCCACTTGCCTGGCTGTAAATATTTCAGATCGGCGTGGCGGAGGCGACGGCACCTCGCCTCGCCAGGGCCCTCGGAGGCGCGGTAATTCACCAGCGCCCGGGGAGACAGGAGGGGGCGTGAGGGATAGAGATGGACGTGGAAGGCGGCGAAGAAGAAAGTGGAAGAGGAGAGGGGAAGAGGTCGTGAAGAGCTGCGGAAGCTGTTGTCGGCGTGCTTATGTTATTCGTTGTGATTGGGAACGAAATGGAAAAGAACGTTGGTGTTGGAAAGGAAAATCGATAATGGGTGTCAGGACTCAGAGTTTAAGTATGTAACTCCGAATGTACAAGTCTCGAAGTGTAACTCTCTTGGCGCAAACACGACTTCTTTTGTCCCTGTCGAAGATTTTTTTATTGACGCTTGATTTGCGGTCGTGTTATTGCATCGTTTTTCTTCACTCTGTAGATGTTTTGAATCTACCACTATATGTGTTTACGTTTTTATCTGGCCTGTGAGCAGTCAATTCTTTCTAATCTAAACGACCTCTTAACCAACGAACGCTTTCAAAAACACATAGTAAGATATCTATCCACGTTCAACTATTCCTGTTTGGTCTTGTGCGCTGATATTCCTCAAATTATAATGTTCTTTGTCTTTCAAAAAGAGGAACTCCTTCCTAATCTAACCCTCCACCTCTTCGTGATAATTTTTACATTCATCCCTTTCATTTGAAATAATTAGATCTTAGATCCATCTCTCTCTTGAATAGTGACGACTTCCCGAACACCTTTCCTAACATTAATTTTACACTATTCGAACTCCGACTGAGATATGCGATCTGAAAATTTTCCCTCTTTTGAACTCCCTTTGTCATTTCTCTTTCATAATCACAATACGCCTCTGCGAGAGCGCTCACAGGGACTTCTTTACTTTCGTACCTCCACCTCAATCACTGCCAACCCTGCGTCGCTGCCGCCGCCTCCGACCCCGCACCCCACCCC